ACAATCGGTGCAGTCGCTCCAAAGATAAACCCGGATAAACGGACAGACAAAAAATTTTTAAATGGTTATTCATGGCGTACAAATAACGCCCTGAGCTCAACATTAGGCAGTTATTACAATATTATTGATAAACATTACTATTTTATTTATGCGTATGTATATATAATGAATATGTATATATATGTACCGGTAGGCGTAGTGTAGGGCGACCCCCCACTAGATAGAGTGACGACCTGGTAAGACATGCAGGAAGTCGATGAATGCAGGTGGCTCAGGACTGTGCTTTGTGGCTTTTCTTGGGGGAGGCCTATGTTCAGCAGTGGACTTGTGAAGGGCTGTAATGATGATGATGGTGATGATATATAATGAAGTTTCTAAGACGCAAATTATACAAAAGCGGATAAAGCGCAGGCACGGCACAGACGCGGTGCAGGCATGGTGCCGCTTCAAAAAAAAATTTTATATAAAATATATAAATGCGGGATGTCGTGAATTATATTCAAGCGGCGTGGCACACAGTTTCCACTCTTGCGCCGCGTCTGTTCCGTGCCTTCGCCTTATGCCGCTTCTGCATAATTTGCGCCTAAAAGAACTGTATCCGCGACTGGTCTTCGCTGCAGAAGACAAGAAGGCTGGTTCTATTCTCGCCCAAAGACTAAGTATGGGCTCTTAGACGGAAAACTTAGTCAGCGTTCTTGGGACTCTACCGCAGGAAACGGGACTATATAATGTTTTTAATTTATTTCTTGAAATGAGTATTATTTATTATGATATTCAAAGAAATTATTGATTAGCATATATTTTATTAATTAATTAATAATTAAATAAATTATAAATTCTCTATTATCATACAAAATATCAGCCCGCGCTATTACTGGAGAAGTAATTGAAGAAAGAAAAGACATTATGTTCTTATTACGTTTGATAAAAACAAAAGAATTTTTTTAAATAGGACAAAGAAAAAGGTGCCTCGTTTTCACACATCGCGGGAATATTCAGAGCATGCCAGCCTCATTTGGAACTTTTGTGCTCCTTATTCCTTAAGACTTTGTTTGTCTTAGAGCATCGCAATACAAAGTGTCTGTTGTCGCCATAAAAAAGCCATGCCCTCTTTATGCCAAACAAAGAACGAACGTTATTTTTGAATAAGATTTTGGAATTCTCAAGTTTAGAGTAGTCGTAGTTGACTTTTAAGAGAGTGAAGTGTAGGGCTTAATGATGCTAAGAGGAAGAATTGGCAGAAATGAAAATTAGGATTTAGATAAAATAATATTTAGATATGGGGATAAAAATAGGATTTAGATATGGGCTTTTTCCGTTACTTCATAACCTCTGATTTGCCATAATCGTCACGCTAGAAAATACTTCGATCTGCCGAGAATTTACTTTATATTTTAATTCACTGCAATTATTTCCGAAGCTGTTTATAAAGTCTTTTTAAAACTGTATCAAGTAGCAACCTATATAACGTTAAATGGAATACTAATTGTAGAAGTATTAAATAATATAATAAAATTCAGAGTTTTTAGATTGAAAATCCGCCTGTAAAGTTCTTACTAAACAAATGTCGCAGACGTCTGCGTATCTGCGTATCTTCATTTAGTTGTATTCAGCCGAAGAGTTTCTGGACAATGTTTCTGTTAAAAGAGTTAGCGTGTGTTATTCACATTGTGTTGCATTTAAAAATTAATTATCATCTACCCCTGTCAACGGGTGACTTTCTCGAGCGTTGAGCGGTCGACGACCCCGTTATATTTGAGACGACCCAATGTTTATAACACCGATGCAGCGAACACAACAGGAACTAGGGCGAGGGGCACGGTGTCGAAGCGCGAATGGTCTTGCCTTAATTCCGTTTCACACCTCATCGTTTTGTTATTTACAACAATCAACATGGAAAGACGCAATCAAAACAAACATAATCCTCGTGTATCCTGTCGCTAATTTAATCAAACACAAATTTAATCAAACATCAAGCAACAGATTGCTTAGTTTAATGTTATTTTAAGTGTAAATGAGACGTAGTATAATCCTAATATCTTAATAATTTCAAATGTGACTAACTTTTAAAAATCAACTTCTGGTCCGTTTTTGTTTACAAGTAAATCTAGCTTTTTCCTACCTTTCTACCGAAGTTGGTTCATTTCCGTTCACTAACGTCTCTGTTATCTTCATTGCTCCACAATAACCTCATTAAGTTACTTACAGTAATAAACTCTCTCGTAACTATTACCACTGTGATAACTGGTAAAAATCAACTTCTGGTCCGTTTTTGTTTACAAGTAAATCTAGCTTTTTCCTACCTTTCTACCGAAGTTGGTTCATTTCCGTTCACTAACGTCTCTGTTATCTTCATTGCTCCACAATAACCTCATTAAGTTACTTTCCGTAATAAACTCTCTCGTAACTATTACCACTGTTAACTGGTAAAATTGTTTTTGCTGATATTAAACGGTGGAGTATCGACGCGGACGCGCCAGCGACACTGAATTAGCAGTCGTTCTGCCACGGGATTGCTGTGTCTAATTCAATGACATACGCCTGGATTGCAGCAATTTTGTACCACTAATATTGCAAGCACGAGGGTGGGACAGGACGTAGACTCTCGAATCGAAATTGATAGGTTAATGGGTCCAAAATAAGCTCAATGCTTTGCATATTTTGATACAGCTCCATGAATCAAAACGAGATATTTCGAGGAACTTGTGACCTCATATATACATATATAATACTTGTATAGTATTGTATATGGAGAGGACTTTTAAAGGGCGGATGAATGAATATAATCACTCAGTATGCAGCCATAAACAGAACAATTCCGCACAGGAACATCTTGATGCATAGGGGGTCGGGTTGTAGTCACAAGTATAGGAAATTGTCAATTTAGCTGTGACAGATATGGTAAACGTTGCATTCAATAACTAATAGTATATTTGTAAGACGGCCAATTTTAGGATGTCTTTAATGGGCAGTAGTTCAAGTAATTAAAAAAAATTCCAATAAAAAATCACTTCGAAATTATTATTAAAACAGGATTTTGTAAGAAAGGCAGGAAAGGAAAACGTTGTGATTTTTACAGGTTAGTTTATTAATTATTATAATGATACTCAGACTATATAATATCACACTTCTGAGCATTTTGTACGCGTCACATTTTCCTATAAGCAATTGTTTCGTGCTTTTTGGTGGAAATAGTAATCAAAAGGAAAACGGCCAAGTGCGTGTCGGGCCACGCACAATGTAGGTTTGATTCCGTACGTTGAACTTAAAAAGGGCCATCTTGATACTATGAGCATAGTGAGTTCGGGGTTTTTATAATAAAATCTTAGAAAACACACATCTCTAAAATATTTGATACAATATACTGGTGATAGTCTCCAAATTCAATACAAAAATGAAACAAATCCTTTTTTCTGAATGAAAAGTTGAATCTGCGAGGCTTGAGGGCGCCTTGGTGTAGATCGTCACTCCATCTACGTTTACCTAAAAGCCGCCTTCACACTATAACATGCCTACTCCAACGGTTAAAGCTTCTGCGTTGGATGAGACCGATCCATTGCCACTTCAGCCTATAAATACGGAAGGCTACGTCGGCGTACCTTGATTGCTTAGCGGATTTCTTCATTACGGATCCACCAGAGAAACGCCGTGTGTTACTCTTTCTTTCGCCCACTGAGTGGCTTTGAGTTTGTGGAGTAGTCGTACCGTTAATACGTTTCGGCACCATATGTGAGTATAGATACAACGAATACAGGTAAAAGGTTAAGGACGTAAAATCTAATAACCTAAGATCCACGTGAAAAATAAGATGATGTCTCTTTATTTGCTTCAAGAGCACCTCCCACCCCATCTCAATTGCGTACACTATCACTCTGACGACTAACCCAACACTATTCTCTTACCTACCTACTAATACTACTACCTACTGTCACATGGTAGGACCATGCTGTAGCTATATAGTTGTAGCACGAATAGGTCAGCTCGACCGAGGAAGGTTCACGCTCTCCCAGAACACCGGCGTAAAATAGCAGTAATACTGCTGTTTTCGTATGATGCGTATAGAGATCCGGAGACCCTTTCTACTAGCAACGAGATGTTACATCTTAGTCCTCAGGGGTGACAACGCCACTGCGTTTTGATTCTTTATCAAGGATAGATGTAGATGTCAATTAGTCTCGACATCCACTCACCATCAGACGTGCTGTGTCCTCCCTATGTGAAACCGAAAATTACAAGCTAGCACTTTGTCTTGTTTAAGTAGACTATGAGAAAGTCTTTATCCGTCAAATTTAGGGCGGTGCTACTTCTTTCAGCGGTGGCAAATCGACTTCCGGTACATAGAAATATTGCAGTGTTTATACAGTGGGGCTATGATGACTATCTGAATACAGAATAAGTTTTTTTATCCCCGCCCACTATTTACCACTTGTTTCACATTACCCACTTGTTTTAATAGCACTAAAATCGCTAAATCGGTAGCATAGCTATTTCGAAGTTTCTTTTTGTTTAAATTGATTTATTTATTTATACAAGAAGCCAAATATCTTTTTCATTCTTTCAACAGCCGCCGGTCTCAAAACTCTTTGAACAAAACAGAACAGAACAAATTTTTGCCAAATATTTTTGTTTCTGCATGAAAAAGTATTTTATATTACGAAATTAAAAATAACTTATTTTTTAACAAAACTTAGTAGCTTTTTGTGATGAATTTTATAAAGACTTGCATCGGTTCCCAGAAAATGGGGAGATGTCAGTTTACAGAAAATGGGGAGAAGTTGGAGGTTTTGCGAAGCGGGATAGTATAGAATACATTGTTTTTTTGCTGAGCTTGAGCCACCTGTCACCGTCACCCAGCAAAACCTGACGGACCGAGTTCGGTACATCATGCACTCAAACATATTTAGTGACGATGAACTAGTACAGCTACGACGTGAGACTGTTCCCTCATCGGATGAAAATGCTACAGTTCGGGATACGGCTTCACAAGTTGTAGAGTAATCATGAATCTTCTAATTGTGGCTAATTCAGCCGAAGTTGGAATAGTCACACAACTAAAGCAATTGAGGAGTAAATTGGAAGAAGCAAATAAGGGAACGCGCAGTACACCTCTCGAAAATCGACCACGACTTCCCCTCATACCCCTACGCAAGCGGAATCAGGCTGCCTTGAGGGCTCTAAACCCAATGCTCTCAACCTATTTGGAAGCCAGCCGGGACCTTTGCGAGATGGACTTAATTCATTTTGGCGCCGCATTGGTGGTCTGCCGTATCATTGGCACCAATATTTCCATGGCTGGACGCGCTACTGCACAAAGTAGTGCTATCTCAACCTGGAGAAAAAGAATTGAGGACCGTATCGCAACGGCAAGAGCCCTCATCGGCAAACTGACAAGTTTCAGGTCGGGGTAATAATAGATCGAGAGTTGTGCGCACGGTTCGAATGGGGTTTGCTGGGACAAATATCAGTTTTTCCCAGGAAGATAATGTGTGAAACTAACGGAGCGTATAGACGACCTGAAGCAGAGAATCGCTGTTTGGGGAAAGCGGATTCGACGATATATCGAGAGGTCAAGGCGGTTCAACTAAAATCGCCTCTTCCAAAGTGATCAGAAAAGGCTCTATATAAATCACTGGAGCGGCCATAGATACGTGGAACGGGCCAAGAGCCAAATCAGGCCAATACTGTCGCCTTCTGGCGAAGTCTGAGGTCGGAGCCCGTTAACCATAGCCATTGGATGGAAGTTGTGGCGAGTCAGAGTGGGAGAATTACGCACATGAACTGCGTTATTATAACGCTGGAAGATGTAACTAATGCAGGTCCGGATGATGGATGCGTAAAACCGAATAAGGATAAGAAGGAGCATTTTCCAGGGCAATTGTTGGAGTCCAATCTGGTTCTGCCTCTCTCTGAACTCTCTCAGTACTTTGTTGGAGGGATCAGGGAGAGGATTTCAACTTCGGAAAGGAGGAACAAAAGTGACCCACCTTTTTTATATGGTTGATCTCAAGTTATTCATCCGCAGTCACTCCCATCTTCTGGAATTGCTGAAAATCACTTGTGAGTTCAGAAATTCGGGAAATATCAGAATAAAAGTGGAAACGGATAAATGTGCGGTCCTTCAAGTCGAAAGAGGTAGGGTTGCTAATTCTAAGGACATAGACTTATCTATACCCATCAATATAAGGACCCTTCCGAGACTAAAACGTACCGATAGCTGTATGTAACATAGTATAGGTATTAATGAGGTGGACATGAAACAATCAATATGCGATCTGTTTTATGCTCGCTTGACTAAAGTGCTTGACTAAAAATAGCCTTATTTCAGGTGTGAATAAGACACACGCATAAAACGGTTGGGCTATGCCTCTCCTCATGTATGCCTTTGTCATACTCAGGTGGATTCGAGTAGTTACGTTGTACCAGTTCTGGCTCACTGAGTCAGAAGTGGTACAAGTACGACGTTCGTCGACTCACGATCCAAAAAAAAAGGTTTTGGCATGCTCTGATCACGAATCTGAGGTCCATTTTTGCGTAGGATGCACGGTTCCGGAGATGTGCAGATCAATTAACTCTTATCTAATTGATATCCGGTGCGGGCCTCCACCGTCATTAGCCCCCCGTTGTTCTTATCTACTTATCTATTGTTCATTGAATACCGTCATTATCTATTTTCCTCTGCGTGGTGCTATTGTATTATACTCCTTTGTTCCTATCTACACTAATCTGACTCATCAATAAAACACATTACCTAATTTTGTTAAAATTTTTATTTACAAAATACAAAATCTTATTACTTATTATCTATAAAATAGGAGCGAAACATCTCATCCACTAAAATATCGTTGTACAATGTGTTCCCTGTAAATATACTTGTAAGACTATGCATTGAATATCCCTGAAACTTATATAGCAAATACATTAAGCAATATTCGCCACAAACTGAAGTCCACTCATTCTGAATACTATCAACATTCCAGTTCCATCTTTTACAATTCTTTTTTAAAAACTCTAGATTCTACAATCTCTCGTACAGGTACTCGTCTGTATGAATCAAAATATTGACCGACGTCATTCGTGTCGATATATAAAGCTGCCCAATGTGACCCTGGTTTATCATCTGTACCCAAATTGCATATTACCTAGTCAGATCATAAATTATATTACATGTTTAATATAAAATAATTGAAACAAGTTTATTCATTATGTAACCATTTATATACCAAAATGAACTTAACAAAACATAGATTCTTATGACACTATAGTTTATTCAAAATGACCTCCGTGATTTTGAATACAGGCCTTCAATCTGCGCGGCCAGTCGTCTATCGCAGCACGAACGAGGTCCATGTCAATATCGGCGGCTGCCTTAATCAAGGATGTCTTGAGTGACTCCAAATTGGGATGAGGCTTTGAGCACGCCTTTTCCTCCAAGTGTTGCCATATCTTGTAATCTAACGGATTCAAATCTGGACTGGAGGAGGGCCAGTCTTCGTGTCGGCTGAAGTCGATTTCACGCGCCGCCAGCCAGTCTTGTGTGCTCTTCGCTATATGAGCTGACGCCGAATCTTGTTGGAATACCCAGTGCCTGTTATTGAACATGGTATGAGAAACAGGTTACACAAAGTTCGTCAGGACTGTATTTTGATACACAACTGCATTCATTTTTACACCTTTCTCACAAAAATGTACCTCTGTTAAGCCCCAATAAGAAACTCCCAACCATACCATGAGCGAGGATGGAAAATGACCTCGTTGGACACGCGGAATACGGTTGCTCGCTTCTTCACTACTGTGTGCGTACACCTTATCATTTTGTTTGTTGTAGCTCTCTTCTACGGTAAAAAATTTTTCATCCGAAAAAAGATTTCCCGATATTTTTTTCCCGCGTACCGCTTCGACAAAGCGCGGCATCTCTTCAGTCTCAGGTCCATTAGACGAGCATTCAAACGATGTCCTGTTTTTCTTTGATATGCCCGAAGCCTTCATTTAACACCCTCTTCACCGTGGTTCTGCTTAACTCCATCTGAAGGGCCAACAGTTTCTGCTTACGTTTGGAATTTCTTTGGAATTCGCGCCTTCACAGCTTTTATCACTGCTGGAGTCCTAACAGACCGAGAGCGACCTCTTCTTGACCTGTCCTCACTAGAGTCTTCATTGTATCGTTTGATGGTACGATAAACGAATCTTTTGGTTATATTCCAATTTTTCAGTATGTCAAAATTTTGAATTGGTGCGTAACCGCAACGATGCAACGCAATAACTGCAACACGGTCTTCTTTAAGCGTCCACTCCATATTTAAAAATGAGTAAAATTCTAAAAATAAGTATACAGTTTTATTTTCATGAACAATTCGAAATTCGAATTCAATAAACTTTTTTGTGGCCAGCATTCTAAAAGAAAAGTTTTTACTGTGTGACAATACTTTCGTTTTTGACCTGACTAGGTATATACGTTGGTACGTGGGTGTTCATGCGCAGTCTATTAGCAGCATAAACATTATTTTCTTGACTGGGGTGAATCTTTTTCAGATGTTGTTGTACATCTAGTGTATCCATGATATTACTGCTGTTAGTAGATTATTACAGTACAACCTACTCAATGACTAACATAGGAATGATCAATTATAGTGATTTATAAATATTAAATTGCATTATTTTGTGTTGTACAAAACGTATTTGAGTCATCAATACACTGAATAAGACGCAACACAAAGTAGTGCTGAAATAAGCAACAGAATGTGAGATAAGCTTGTTGACGCATAAAGTTATTATCAATTCCACTGTAGAAATTCTTTAGATTAGAATTATTACTTACTGGTACTATATAAGACCAAGCAACTGCAGTCATGGAGTTAGTGTATGGTCGTTTGACCGCAGTGGATCTATCAATACTACATTTGTGTTACTTCAACGCATCAAAGGCCATAGATGTAAATGTTTAATCTATTGACGAACTTACTTTTCTTTCTGTTATTTTCATACGTGTGTATAATTTAGTGTTAACAAATTATATTTAAATATTGTGTGTGTATATGATTAAGCCCTGGTAGCTTAGATGGTTAGCGCAAGCTGTAAATTTCACAGTACGCGACGTGTGTTCGATCCCTGCCGGCATCAATTAAATCGTTAATCGCAATTTTAAGTGTTTATTCTATTGACAAACTTATTTTTCTTTCTGTTATTTTCTTATGTGTGTATGATTTAGTGTTAACAAATTATATTTTAATATTGTGTGTGTATATGATTAAGCCGTGGTAGCTCAGATGGTTAGCGCAAGCTGCAAATTTCACAGTACGCGACGCGGGTTCGATCCCCGCCGGCACCAATTAAATTGTTAATTGCAATTTTAAGTGCTAATTTACCATGTGCTCGGTGGTGAAGGAAAACATCGTGAGGAAACCTGCATGTCTGAGAAAATTTCGAAGGAATGTGAAGTTCGCGAACACGCATTGAGGCCGCGCCGCGGACATTTCCTAGCCATAAATACAAAGACATTAGCAGAAAGTGAAAAAGTTAAAAAATACTTTTTAACAATAACAGTCATTAGTTGATCATTAGTGAATGTGATTCTGTTTATTTAAATTACAGGAAGACGAGAGCAGAAGGAAGAAATGGGATGATGGGAAGTAATGAAGCATTGTTATGTGAAGTTTGTTGGAACAAGCATATTTTTAGTCACGTGTAAATACTTTTAACATTTTGGTTCAAAATGACACAAAATCTAAAAACTATGTATCTAACATCATCGACATCATTCTATCATTCGTCATCAACATTTTTAAAAATTGTTTTTCTGTTGAACCACCTTTGTATTATATAGTATACTATAACTAATGTTTTTGGGAAATCAAACAAAATTTATGATTAATTTAAAATTTTATTTTCAAGCAATAACCACTTGTAAAAAACCCACACTTCGTCACAAGATCAATGTAAAATTTTGTGATTATTTTTTGCAAATACATGAATTACTACACACATAAGGTTTGTTTAAATTTATGACATTTACCAAATCATTGTATTTTGGACATTTATATTTTTCAATATTAAAAATTCTATCATTCGTCGTCAACATTTTTAAAAATTGTTTTTCTGTTGAACCGTCTTTGTATTATATCGTATACTATAACTAATGTTTTTGGAAAATCAAACAAAATTTATGATTAATTTAAAATTTTATTTTCAAGCAATAACCACTTGTAAAAACCCACACTTCGTCACAAGAACAATGTAAAATTTTGTGATTATTTTTTGCAAATACATGATTACTACACACATAACGTTTGTTTATATTTATGACATTTACCAAATCATTGTATTTTGGACATTTGTATTCTTCAATATTAAAAATTCTATCATTCGTCGTCAACATTTTTAAAAATTGTTTTTCTGTTGAACCGCCTTTGTA